ACATCTCCAGACCAAGTTTGGGAGTCTGGGGATATGTGCCCTTTATTTGTTTAGCCACATTTAAGCTAAATCATATTTGGGAATGAGTTACTATTAAAATTTGTTTGCAAAGGCCAAGTGATTTCTTTCCAGAATAAGCTATATTCCAATTCAAGTTGTATTTGGGGATGGATTCTTAATCAAATTATTATGTTCAAAAGCTAATTGAACTCTGTCTGCATTAAAGTATATTTGGATTCTACTGCAATGATATTTTCCTTATTTGGAAAGGTATTCCTGTTCAAATTCTGATCTAATATAGACATTATGGTGAATTATGAATGGTGGTGAACTATGTGCTTACTAAATTCTATTCAATATGCAAATTCAATTCGGATCAAAAATCGTATTTGGAAAGGAATGTGTACTTGGATATGTTGGACTCCAGGCTCCAAAATATGAGGCTTGGAGAATCCAACATTAGACATCTCGAGGATTCTGATCTCCAGATTCTAGGTTTCAGGTGCTTCACCATGGACATTTCAAGGGATTGCAGGTCCAACAAAAAACTGTAAAACAAAGTGTTTCGAAGAAATTGCCCAGATTGTGTTCCCTTGGGCCGAAGATTGTTCGTTTCCCAAAAAACATTTTGCCCCCTTCAACATTCCAATTCAATTCGTGTTGGAGTACTCCAGGCTCCAAAATATGAGGCTTGGAGAATCCAACATTAGACATCTCGAGGATTCTGATCTCCAGATTCTAGGTTTCAGGTGCTTCACCATGGACATTTCAAGGGATTGCAGGTCCAACAAAAAACTGTAAAACAAAGTGTTTCGAAGAAATTGCCCAGATTGTGTTCCCTTGGACCGAATGGACAGCCTTTGATATAACAGTGCAGCAGTGATGACACACACACAATCATCAACCTTTTAGGACCACATGCCCAAACCACATCAAACAAGGCCTCAAATGAGTGTCCTTTTTTTCCCAAACAACAGTCTCCACTTGCTGCGCAATAAGCCTACAGAAGGTTTATAAACTTTCAGGAAAGTTTATAAACCTTATTGAGTGTTTGACGAGTTTCCCGCGTCAAGGTTCATGGTATCGTTGAAGGATGGGGGGGGGGGTTGGTTGGAATCGGCAGGATGGAGTTGTTGGGGGGGGGGGGGGGGGGGGGGGGGGGGGGGTGGGGGGTGGGGTGGGGGTGGCTGGAAGTCTTAGCAGTGAGACTCAGCCAACTTTTGGCCAACTTTGTAAAGACTTCTCAGTACCTCCCCCCCCCCCCGTAAAGAGTTCTGACCCCCCCCCTGCCCTTGTTGCAGGGAAACCGTCAAACCCTTGACATGGTTTATAAACTGTCTTGAAAGTTTATAAACTCTTTGCTGTTGATACTCAACATGACTTGTCACCCACAAACAAATATGCAGCAACATCACACTTCTTGCGTATATATGCTCACACCCCCTGTCTTTAAAAATAAGAGGGTTTTGTACATTTTGAAGTGGAAAGGTAGGCCCTGGGGGGGGGGGGGTGAGCTATATATATATATATACACATGTGTGTAGACCTATGGTCAGTGTTCATTTTCAAGGTACTGTAGTTTGTTTGGCTGGCCACACCACTCCTTTAAGCATCCAAGGGAGGCTGGTTGACATGGATCGGAGCAGTGCTTGTCCCGCTTTTACAAACATTTGTTCGTGCTACAGCACGATGATGGGAGTGACAAGTCCGAGTGTGCCTGAGAAACGGGCCATCTAGATGAGAGCAGGGGACACATATATCGGGCATCCAGTTGCCTTGGGTTGGTCGAAGCAATCCTAATTTGTCGCTTTGCCTTTGGCTCATGAGGATCCCGTTGTTTGCCCTGCCCAGGGAGAGCACAAGAAGAAGACGGGCATTGTGACTGTGCCTCGCTCCGATTGAGAGAAGGCATGAGCTGAGCTCGATGCTTTGTGGGATCTGATATTGGACTGCCGATTTCTGCCAAGGAATCTGTCAAGGCGCCTGGCAATTGCAGGCCGAGTTGTTGTCGTTCTTCAAGCGGAAGTTAAGTGGAACTTGTATCCGGCTTTTTCGATTTGGAAGTTGCTGGTGGCGCTGGTTGAGACGACACATGTTCTGGCTGCTAGCATGCCGGTGCCCCTCTGGCAATTTTGGAGGCCCACCTCATGCAGATGCACAGGTTGAGGGACTTCTTCTGGGACTCTTGTCTGTGATGCCACAAAGGAATCCGGAGATGCTACCAATCATAAAGACCATGACTTCGCAAGCTATTGTCATTTGCCAAGGCCTCAAAACAAGGAATAGCAGAATGCGTGCCGGAGCCACAATGAGGACCCACAACAGCATTCTTCGTCACGCGGGCATTTCGGTCAGACCATCCCGTCAGAAGCGCATGTCAGCGTGCGAATTGACTGAGTCGATCCACGGACATTGTCCACGCCACAAGCACCCGCTGGAGAAGATGAAAGAAGATGATGCCGGGGCCCAAGCCTTCAAAAGAGAACTTGATGGTAGAGATGCAGCATGCAGTGGATCGGGCCCGATTTAGCCAGCAGAACCTTAGACGTGTTTCCAGGGCCACTGATAAGAGGTTGCAAGCGTCCTGCCGTGCTCGGATCCCTGAACTCCGGAGTCCCCGGTGACTGGAGCTTCTGGCGGAAGCTGGCGGAATGGGGCCTGACTCAGGACCCCTTCGAAGATGAGAAGAAAGGGAAGGAGGATCAGGACTGGGCACGGGTTACTTTTTTTGTTTTTTTCTTCTTTTCCGCGCAAAGAGGAATCATTCCAACAACCTATTACATTGTGCTCAAGTGTCATACCGATAAATCCGGCGTCTGCCGGAGACCTGCTGTGGCACTTGCTTCTCCTTTTCCTGTCCTTTCAAACCTTGAGAGATTGAATTCGCTTCTGCACCAATGACTCCCTGCTGACCTTACCATTCCGACCATGGCCACTTCCGGCTTTGCACCTGTCTGCTTTCGCGCGCCGGAAGCCGCATGGGCCGAGGCGGCTTTCAAGTGCCAAGTGAGGCAAACGGCGAATCTGAAGTCTCCAGAATTTGGCTTCCGTGCAAGTCAAGGGCGGGTGTAGGGAAGTAACACTGGCTCGCATCACAGGTCAGATGACCCGCCCAAATTACTTTGCCAGTGTCATTAGGAAGATGATCGCACAAACTTGCCAGGGCTGTTACTTTGAAGGCACACTTTGTACCCTTTCTTGCATCATTCTCCTTTGAATCTCCCCAGCTGTATCACACATTTTTCCGGAACACCCGCATGGTTGAGACGCCACCAACATTTTCCCCAACACAAGTCACGCTCACATCATTCACTGCGCTGCGAGTGACTCGAAGCCAGGACAAGAAGAAAAAGAAGAAAGGCGGGGCCTTCGCACCTAGCCCCCGCTTTGCATTGGCCAATCTATTGATTTGGTTTCTATTTTGCTTGTCCAAAACTTCTCTATGGAACCCTTCCTGCTTTCAGCTTGCCAGTCGTGGGCCCAAAAAGGTTGACCTTGGACTTTTGGACGGTCGCGAGTTGCCCGGAGAGGGATGGCAGTGGTTCCATGGATCTTGAGATGGCACTTTGTCACAGAGACATCCTCTGCCGAGAAAGGTGAGATTGGGTTGGGAGAAGCAGTTTGCTAGGATATTGCACAGAATCTATAGACTCCACAGAATCCACAGAGTGATTTTTTTTCACGGAACGTTTCTGAGATGGGCGATCACAAATTGAGCAGCATGCCGCAACTCACAGGCTGCTTTGCACGTCACCTTTGGTTTCGTCTACTTAGATAAGTTGTTGACCGAGTTCTTAAGGCCGTAAGGTCTTTTTCGAATGTCACGATTTGTTGAACGCTCAACAGGTTCAGGTTGCTTCTCAGTGGCTCGGATTTAAGCAACCAAACCAAATGGGCTGAACTGATCCGAGCCACCGGAAGCTTCACGGGCCTCCTTTTCCATGGATTTCTAAACACATCTGCACAAAAGCCATTGCAAGTGCTGCAAACAGCATTTCTTTTTGTTTTGTGCCGCATGCAGTACATTCGGTGGTAACCTTGAGCTGATTGAACTTGGGGTGACACACATTGGCAGACCAACATGATCCCCCCAGCAAAAGGATGCACAAATGGAAGTTCCTCCATTTTTTTCTCGGGGGGTTCTTGCCAAGCGAATCTTTGACAGAGAGAACTATACGCGTCGAAGGCCCAAGACTGGAGTGCGAGATGTGCAAGGCTGGGCCTTGAGCGCTGAGAAGACTTGAGCAAAGACACCCCTTGGCACAGGAGTTCCTACCCCAGCCGTTCAAAAGCACAAGACACTCCGAAGGTTGGGGAGAAGGGTGGAAACTGCAAATTCAGAGGTGTTTCGAGGGAGAGAGTTGAGCATGTGGATGGCTTTTTTTCCGGACCGCTGGGAAGCGGTTTTGGCCCCGAATCCAGAGCCATGCGGAACTGGGTTTGGGACCGGTAACTCCGTGACCAGAGACCCGGACCAGAGACGACCATGATATTGTTCCCAGACGAGTGAATCTGCTAGATGACCCTGATGCAATACGAACCTCATGAACCGATTGAAAAAGAGTCAAGCAACCAACGCCAAGAACCATTCGCCCAAGTTCTGGCCCTAGTTCTTTGGTTCCTGATGAACAAATCAAAAGCCAAGCCCAAGTTCTGTAGTTATTTGGTTCCTGCACTTGAATTGATAAGCACGAAGAGACATGAACGCGCAAGCACAGAACTTTTGAACATTTTGCGGCCCAACCCAAAGCAGCCACTTTCAGGCTGCCCAAAAAACCAAGAGGCGGATTCGCCTCCTTGACGCCTTTTGGATTAGGGAGAACCCCTGATTAGAGCTACATTGTGAATTACCCAACGCTTGTGGAAGAAGCAAGAAACACATTAAAAAGCAACAAGCATTATAAACACCTGTCTTCTTAACAACACCATCTTCTGTCTTTACGTCCGTTCGCTTTGTCATTTCCTCTCTTGCAACCCGTTTCTTTTGTGTCTCGCTGGAGGCTGCGAAGAAGAAGGACAAGGACGCGCCCAAGGAGGACGAGAAGCCGAAGCAGGTGGCCTTTGGCTGCGAGGACGGGGAATCGACATGGCTGTCGATCAAAGCTAATGGGATCCCATCTTGGGATAGGTGCACCACCCATTTTAGTGCATCTTAGTGGGGATTGGGATGTTCACAAGGGGTACGGGATTGTGACCCATGGCTACATGAGGAGTTTGTCTCAAAATGAAACCCCACGAAGAACTCGCCGGGTAGGGCTTGTAGGGACCCCCAAACCGGATGAATTCGTTTTGGTGTTTCCCTCTAAAAACCAATTCTAGGAGGGCACCCCCAAAAAAGCCGCACATGCAGATGGAGGGTGGGTTCGTTTCTTTGTGAGGGTTGCCTTTTTGTTGCGTCGTCAAAAGCAAACCACCAAAGTTTTGGAGTCCCCTCAGAATAGAGCAGCCACGGAGAGACGATCAAACTCATAGATTGTAAGAATGACATGAGTCACAATCAAAACCCGGGTAATTGGAGAGTGGCAAGGGACAATCCCAGCCAAAAATGGGTGCGGCCGCCTTTTTCCAATTCTTTACATGGTTCACATGAGGTAAGTTGGGGACAGTGAATATTAACCGCGGCTCAGATGAGACAAGGGGGGTCGCTCATGCTCAAGGCACGAAAGCAAAATGGGAAGGAGCAGCCGCGGGGGCTGAGGGAGCGCAACCGCACGCTTTCCGTGAGGATTGCAACTGGTATGTATGCGCCGACTGCCACGGCAAGAAGGGCGAGAAGCAGTGGCAATGCATGCTGCAGGCACTGACCGCTTTGACGTATTTGGAATGTGATTCTGTCTTGAAGTAGAGAGGCCGCTACTTACGATATCCGAAGGAAAGGAAGCCAAAGAACAGACCCAGCCTACTGTGAGGGTGCCTCTTTTGAGACTGGCTTGTGCCTATTTTTGAGCACATGCGAGTACAAAGCTCAAGAGTGCGCCGAACTTGCCTCTGTGCGCAGAACATGGCAAGTGAGGCTCATTAACATCTGGGAGATCGGACAGAACACGTAGCAAGGCCAACTTTGGTTCAAGCGTCTTTTTTAGTCAAATGGGTCAAGACATGTTCTAGACGAATTCGTTGGCCCCAGTTACTCGTGCGGTATGCACCAGCTGTTTTCCTTCTAGTTTTGAAAGGGTGGTTGCCTTTGTTGCTAGGTAAAAGGAGTCACTCGCCTGTGATTCTAATCTCCAAAGAGGACCCTTCAAAAATGGTTGGTGAACATAAACAACAGAGTGTGTGTGTGTGTGTGCGCGTGTCCACCAAACGGTCTGGTCCCTAGTGTAAGAGTCTAAGAGAACCTTAGATGACAATTCCATGTGCAAAGTCAAACAACAAGACCCACACCATGTTGATCTCCACACCAGGACATGCCACGTTGAAAATCACAGAAACCGTCATCCTGGTTCTTTTTTGGTTTCCTCCAATCCGGCCTCAGCAATACGCATATTCGGATTGAATGCCCCAAATTGAAAGATCCATGGTCAAAGAGCCATATGAAAAATGCAGCAAATTGGGAATTTGCTTTCTGTGACACGTCGGCATTGGGTTGGACCGCGTTCTCAAAGACACGCGCTGAGCCGCGCCCCCAAAACCCCCCCGCTGTGAAGTTCCACCTCGCAGGTGGACCTCCGTGAGGGCTTCGAGGTGCACCGCGAGTGGTTCGCGGCTACTTGGGCCAGTTCTGAAGGGGGGTGGCAAGGTGCAGGCAGGCGGAATCAAGAACCATTGGGTTTGAAAGATTTCATTGGGAAAGAGGACTGTTGAATTGGGAATTGAGCACCCAGGGAAGGGACAGATTTCAGAGCGAAACGCATCAGGAGTCAGCGGCTTCTTTGAAAGGCGGAGCCACCAGTTTGTGCACTCACCATTGATCACTGCTCCGTTTGCAAGCGCCTTATGCGTTGCTGCACAGGCTGGGTCATCATACAGATCCAAGGCATCCCAACAAGCCCAGACTCATTCATCCTCAATGATATCTGAACTTTCAGACTCTTCCTTTCCTCCGAACCCAGGTGGAACATCTACGTCTCTTCGCAGAGGCGGAGGACGACATGGAATCGGCTGCTCGGATGCAGAGCACCTTCTCAAGATGCTTTGGTTGACTTTCAGAGGGTATCTGGGAGCAATGGCAATCCCGAGAAATGCAAAGCCTTTCGGGCGGTTTGTGGGTTTGCCGTGCCACTTCAATGGGAGTTCAACCGAACATGCCTGAAATTGCTCTTGGTCTAGGACTTGTTGCCAATTCTGGTTAGAGCGGCGGCCATGGCTGGTTGAGGTTGCCAGGGGTGGCGATGCTGAAGATGTTCCGTTGACTGGTGGTGATGTTTTTGGTGTTTGGTGTTGGTGGCGTGATGTCGTGCACTCTTCGCCCGGTGTGGTGGACACACACATACAGCTTGATATTAATGTTGCCCATACAAGTGATCTGATCATGCTGTTGTTGTTGATTGTTGAGGAGGCATCAGGCAAGCTTGGGATGTCCAGGATGTAGCGGAGGTCAAAACACGCAGGATGCAGGGATTCCTTGGCATGTCTATGTTTTGATATGCCCTGGTGCTTTTGTTGATAATGGCTGGCAATGCTTACAAATGCAAGAAGTGCCGGTTGGTGTATGATGCAGCATTGGGCTTGCGGAGTCTGACCCATTGGGTCAGCCGCAGCCGACTCCGATTTTCCTGCTAGTCAACCACTTGGGGTCCTTGATGTGGCCATGCTTGAGACTGGGCCAGGTGATGCAAGTGCATCAAGTGACAGACCAAGGGCACGGCTTTGTGCTTTCTGGTTTTGTCCCAGCCGTTACTGAATCGTTGGGTCAGACTTTTTTGCAGCAACTTGGTGGGACGCCCAATATAGCCCAACATGTTTTTTTCTTAGTTCCATGTGAGACCATAGCATCTGCTTCATTCAAAGCTCACTCTGTTTGATGCTTTGAGAAGTCGAGTGATGTTCGTCCTGATGCCAGCCAAGTTTTGGTGTTTTTCTATTGCTTGACCCGGGCAGAAGCCAAGCCTGGCGCGCCGCTCAGGACGACGAGGACGAGAAGGAGGACAACTTGGCCAAGAAGCCGCTTGGAGTTTGTTTTTGGAGGGGGCCTGGGATCATTTTTTATTATATATATATATATATATATTTTTGTATGTTATTTCTATTTTTCCATTTTCTTGTTTTTCTCTTTTTTTTCTTTCATTTTTTTTTTCTGTTGAGGAGAGCCAACAGCGCGCACACCCGGCCTTTGAGACCATCTAGCCACGCCTTCAGAGATTTCTCGCTTGTTATACATCACATGACGGTACATTACTCTAGATCACATCACTCCTTTACTTTACATTTCAGTGCATACCATTGCATGGCATGGCATGGCAGCGTAGCATTGTCTTTCTGCATCATTGTGGCTTGTGGCGTGTTGCCTGGCGGAGCTTCATATGTGCTAGTTGGTATTTTCTTTGCGATAGCATTGCCTTACCTTGCCTTGCATTGCATTGGTGTTTCACCAGGCACACACAGAACACGTTCATATGCATACAATAGATTACGTTACGTTACACATCAGGTATGCCTATGATCTGTATACACCTATGCACACCTGTGCACACACGCATGCGGACGGGTCCGTGGGCCTTAAAGGCGAGGCCAGTTTTTAGCGCGGCTGAGCGCGTCCGGAGGTTTTACCCCGAGCTGGTGGAAGGCCAGCACATCAAGGCGCGTGCGAGCCTGCGAGCCTGCGGGCCTGCGGGCCTGCGGGTCTTCGGGGCGGGGCGGTTGCTTGGGTGCGGTTGCTGGGGTGAGGGGTTTTGGAGCTTTTTTTCTCTTCCTTTATTAGTTTTCCTCTTCTTTTTTTTTGGGGGGGGGGGTTGGGGGTTTGGGGTGGTGTGGAGAGACTGTTCGGGGCAGTGACAAGCTTATAGCTGCGATTGCCTTAGCGCTTCGCGACTCGAGTTGCGAAAGCGGCACCTCTCTTGGGGCGATGTTTCTGGTGAGCCCTCGGGCTGGGGCTAGCGCAGTCAGATGGATCTCACTTGGACGCTTTGATTTCACCTTCATGTTTTCCATTTGCTGACCCATTCGTTCCGGTTTGCAGCTGCTCAATTTCCCCCCAACTCTTGCGTGACTTTTGGGCACAAAGAGGCTGCCCTACACCAGGCATCTCTGAGCTCGGCGGGCCGCTGGGGCTTTACCTCGCGGTTCATGTACGACGCGGTGGTGTCCAAGTGCCAGGCGCCGACCGAAGCGTTTGCGAGAATCTGTGGCGACCGGGCAGGCCATTGGCTCACAAGGATGGTCCAATCTTTTTGGGGCGATGCCTCATGCGATGTGGGGGGTCTTTTTGCCACCTTTGGTGGAAGAGTTGATCGACGCCCTTGTAGTGAAGGATTCCTTTTTGAGGGGGGTCGCCCATTTTCTCACAAAAGGTGGTAAAACAGACCGCCCTGGCGATGTGAGCTGGCTCGGAAGCTGAACAAACATGGGAGGTTCTAGGTTAGCTCTAGCCTATCCAGGTGCAGGCCTTCGCGGCCTCATAAGACAAGACATTGTCCGAGAATATCAGTTGACAACATAGAACAACTGGTTGTTGACCTGGACTGAATATAGTAAAGCAACCGCAACTCGGCGCGAACTCCGACGCTGTGATATAACATGGGCACCACTGAGGGAACTCACAACGAGATTTCGATTGAATTGCGGTTGAATTGGGTCATCCGCCCTACAAGAGAAGGGGGGAATATGTTTGAGGGCTACAACAAGCGGGGCAAACCATTGAGTTTTGCCAGTTGGGCAGACAAGTAGAGAGGGTTTGTTCGAACAACGGCAAGTGCGAGCATGCTCCAAGTCGGATTTTGACATCAGGACCCTGATTTTCGAACAGCGCGAGTTTACCCTTTCAACTGAAATGGTGAGGGTCCATGTTTTGGGAGAAATGAACTCAGGCAACCCTTAATTGGTGGTTTGGATTGGTGGTTTGAGGATTTGAACCACCCCTGACCTCCAAACCACCGTTTCGGCTCCAAAATACCCAGTGGTCGTCTTGCGAGGAAGACGGGAACTACGACATCAAGTTTCAGGATCAGTTGCTGGGGGAGAAGAAGGGGATGCCTATCGAGGACGGGGTGGTGACTCCTTTCGAGGGGAGTCGGTGCGCGTCCGCGAATTTTGTTTCCGTTCTGGGTGTTTCTCACAATTGGAGTTGGTCCATTTCTTTAAAGACGCAAATGCTTCCTTTTGAATTCACTACAACCAAGCCAGGTCTTGTTGACTCAGGCATGGCATGTCCGCCCTGAACGGTTTTGTCACACCCAATCTAGGCAATGCTAGCAGCCATCTTAACGCAGGTTGCAACTTTTTGAGAGCTTGAGCCATGCTGGTGAACTGTTCGAAGCTCTTCCCCATCAAATGAGACTGAAACCGACTGCTACCAAATCTTCTTGGCATCCAGGTGGTACCCTAGCTTATCAGAAGTGCCTCTGCTCTTTCCATTTGCTGGCGTGCAAGTATGACCAACGAAAAGGGGTGCAATCTTCCCCAGCAGCCATGAAGAGGCTGCAGATGAGGGATTTGCAGCAGCACGTTTTTTCCGGCAAGCTCATTGTCTTTATTGCAGATCGAGTGGCTGTTGTGATGCGTCGGCTTGCGTTTCGCTCAAACTCCAGGGCGCGAGGAATCACAGGCAAGAGGTGCCATGTTTCCTTCACCAGGCGTTTTTGCTTCTTCATTTGTAATACTTATAGAAGCCCAAGAGGGGCCATGTTTCCTTCACCAGGCGTTTTTGCTTCTTTACTTGCCCAAAAAAAAACATTCTAGAAGCCGATGTCCGACATGTCCGCTTTTGTCAGGGCTCAAAGCCGGGAAGACGCTTCGCCTGTTGTCCGTTCCGCGAGGAGCTGGAGAGCTTGCTCAGCTTCGAGCCCTCTGGCCTCGCCTTGGACCCCTCCAGGCTCGATGGGAATTGGGTGAAACCGAAGGCGAAGCAAAGGACACGAGCCTTGGTAGCTGGGTAAAGGACCCTGAAAACGAGCCTTGTTAGTTGGGTAAAGGACTCTTTGTGCTCCTCCTTCAGCACTTTGGGATTGGAGGGTTTTGGGAGACTTTTGTTTTGTCTGCTTTATTCGGGGAAGCCCCCTATCCACCTCCATGATGGTTGCAAAGAGGTACATATATGGGGGTGTCTTTTTTGTGGGAATCGACCCGCACCATGATGGTGGATTTTCTTTTGAGTTTTGCTGTTTGAAGCCAACCACAAGGGGCTGGGCGATCCGCAAGATCAGTCTCGCTGCCATGGGCCATTCATGAGAATCCGCTCGCAATCATACGTGGGGCTTGGTGAAATGTTGAGACCCGTTCCCACAGGTGGAAACGGATGTTGCCGGTTTCAACCTCCATTTTCATGTCGCCTATGTCTTTCTGGGATCCGGTAGCCTTTCAACGCTCTGAACTAGACCCACGCCCGTTCCGATCCCTTGGGCTCCCTTGGTGCGGCTGGTTGGCAAAATCAAAGGGCACATTTATTTGGAACGGGACCTGAACTTGACTGCTATTGGGTTGGCTCTTTCGACTTTAACTTTTTGGTTGAAATCAAGTTGGGTTTTCCACTAAACTCCGAAAAAGTTAAGCTTTTTGCAGGGGGTCAACAGCAACCAAGTGAAAAGAGAAAGGGCAGCCATTTTTCGGTGTGACAAGGTACCTGGGCCCAACTCTCTGAACACCCAGGCTCTGCGATTCGTTTGTCCACCCCTCCCGTTGGTCGTGGTCCGATTTTTTCCTCAGATGGCTGAAAGAGATATGGGGTTCTGACTCCTAAACAGCGGCACGCGTGCTGAAGGTGGTGTAGTGGTTGCTGGCGGTCTCGCCATGCAGTCAGGGTGGTCCATTTGGGTGTGGCTCAAAACTAAAGGGCTAGGTTTACACATGTTTTTGGTCTTTGGTTCCAGATGCCGAGATACCATTTTGGAAGACAATTTTTGGAACACCTCCACTGCCATAGAAAAAGTTTTTGTGCTCTCCGCCGCCGTTTTGGGGCGTCTACGGGGTTTTTCGGCTGCCAGGAACTTCTTCGACTTCCGGTTCAACAGCCTGCCGCGGGGGGTCACCGCCAACGGCAACGGGGTGGACCTCAAGGCGGCCGCGGCCTCGGAGTCTGGGGGTTCTCGGGGGGGTCGGGTTCTCGGGGGGGGGGGGTGGGGTCATGGGGGGGACGGGCTGCGCCTAAAGCGAGGTCAAGGTCCTTTATTGGACTTGATCCCTGGCTTGTGCGGAAAAAGCAGCTTGATCTTTTAATTACTTGATTCCTTTGCTCGTTTCAGCTTAGGTAAACATAAAATCGACAGCTTGAGTTTGATTAGCGAGAGGAATCCTGCACTTTTGGGCTTTTGGGTCTCCGGACCCCCCTTTTGCAGCTGGTGGGTTGATTGATCCGGTGTTTCTACGTGAAATCTGGATCAACGTTTGGTAGCATTTGAGACATCTTTGCCCTTGGCCAATGATGGCTGAAAACATTAAACAAAAAACAAGTTCCAGCGAGCAACACTTGGGCTGCTTTCTGAATGCAAGCTCACAGAAACGGTGCTAGTGTTCTCTGAGTTTGGGGACGTCCAGCTGGCAGATGGGTGGAGTGGGCAAGTTGAGAGCCGGGCTCGCGGAAAGAAGCTGCCAACTCATGCCTTTGGTGTGGCTCGCCCAGCAAAAAGCTCTGTGTTTGGATGGCCGGTTCAGTCCTGCGAGGCCGTTCTCTGCGAGGCCGCAACCACTGCCCCGAAGGAACACCCGATCCCTGACCCCAGCCCCCGTTGAGCAGGACAAAAGCCAGAGGCAAGCCTGGCACGCTGGATTTGTTGGAATTGTCTTTGGGATCGCTTCCGGCATTCCCGCCTTTGCCGCCCACAGAGAAGACTTTGCACTTGCATTCTTACTTGTACATTGACCTTCTTGATTGATCCGCGGTTACATTTTTGTTTCGATCTTCCTCGGGAATATGACAAATGAGGCCTTTGTTTCTCCTTTTCTGAAACGGGGGCTCCAAGTTGGCTTAGGCTGGGGACTCCGGTGGCTCCGTGCTACATGTGAAGCCGGCCTCGCCGCGTGGCGCAAGATGGGTTGTGCCAGGTTCGTTTGAGGTTAGCTGTGGTTGTCCGGGGTTAGCGGAGAGTCGGGCTGCGGGAACTGTGGTTTGGGATACAAGTAGGTTGTATCCATGGGTAGGGGCCTAGTCCCTGTATACCCCACTCATAATCCTGGTACTGGATGTTGTTATAGCCTGTTTCAACCATGGGAGCAGCTCCTACAGCAGGAGCCAGGGATGGGACACACTGAAGTTGGTTGCAGCCGTAGCAAGTAAAACGATTGGACTTTTTTGTCAAAGTCTCATGTGCCCAAAGAGAATCGACTTTGTCTTTTTGTTCTGTGTGGGTTTCTTTTTTGGCGACCATGCTTAGTCATGGCTCAATATTACGGATCGATTGGGCAACTGAGTTTATTTTCTCCATTTTCTTTCAGTCAGACAATTTTAAGTCAAGCAGCAAGGGTGCCAGGGTGCCGGGATAGATGCAGACAGGCGTGTTTGACCCAATGTGTACCAAGCTTTGATCTTTTTGCTTCTTGTGTGTTCCGTTTGAGAACAGCGGTCAATGTTTGAGGGTAACCTTGTTTTGAGAGTATCTGTGTTGGGGTTGGTTTAGAGGGAAACTAAAAGGGAACCACCTTTTTGGAGCACCATGGCAAGGAAGATTATGGTGCGACAGCTGTCGGGGAAGGAAAACTCATTCGTGGTGTCCCACACGACCATCTGCGAAAGTTCAAGTACATGTTTGTCCCCAGGTGAGTAAGATCGTGAGAGGTGACCATTTCACCATTTGCTGCTATCTTGGGCGCAGAGTAAGTGGCACTTAACATCGGTAGCTGGCCAAGAAGTTAGCCATGGCACGGGAGATTTCTGTGCGACAGCTGTCTGGGAAAGCTGACCCGTTTCACTTGTCGACTGACATGACTTTGCGTGAGTTCAAAAGGCAGCTGCACGAGTGGCTGCCCTGCGAAGATGAATCAAAGCGCAACATGAGCTCAGTGGAGGTGGTTGTTGGAGACAGGCCCCTATTGAACAAAGAGCAGCTAGTGTCAGAGGCCATTCCAGGTACAGAAGTCCTGGCTTTCCTCAGCATCCAGCCGGTAGCGTGCGCAAGCTTCAAAGCCTCCGGCTGCGAGGTGGAAGACTTTTTGGTGCTGGAAATTCCCGGAGACGTGGCTGTGATAGGATATCGTGCTTTTGAAGGCTGCAGCATGTTGGCGAGCGTGACCATTCCCAACTCCGTGACTGGGACGGGAGATGGTGCATTTGAAGGTTGCAGCTTATTGGCAAGCGTGACCATGCCCGACAGCATGACTGAGATTGGACATTTTGTCTTCAAAGGCTGCAGCTCATTGGCAAGCGTGACCATGCCCAACTCCGTGACTCGCATTGGAGATGGTGCATTTGAAGGTTGCAGCTCATTGGCAAGCGTGACCATTCCCGATTCCGTGACTGGGATGGGACATTGTGCCTTCAAAGGCTGTAGCTCATTGGCAAGCGTGACCATCCCCAACTCCGTGACTTATATCGGAGAACGAGCTTTTGAAGGCTGCAGCTCATTGGCAAGCGTGACCATGCCTGACAGCATGACTGAGATTGGACATTTTGTCTTCAAAGGCTGCAGCTCATTGGCAAGCGTGACCATGCCCAACTCCGTGACTGGCATTGGAGATGGTGCATTTGAAGGTTGCAGCTCATTGGCAAGCGTGACCATTCCCGATTCCGTGACTTGGATGGGACATTGTGCCTTCAAAGGCTGTAGCTCATTGGCAAGCGTGACCATCCCCGACTCCGTGACTTATATCGGAGAACGAGCTTTTGAAGGCTGCAGCTTATTGGCAAGCGTGACCATGCCCGACTGCATGACTGAGATTGGACATTTTGCCTTTAAAGGGTGCAGCGCATTGGCAAGCGTGATCATTCCCAACTCCGTGACTTGGATTGGCGATTATGGCTTCAAAGGCTGCACCTCATTGCAAAGCGTGACCATGCCCAACTCCGTGACTGGCATTGGAGATGGTGCATTTGAAGGTTGCAGCTCATTGGCAAGCGTGACCATTCCTGATTCCGTGACTGGGATGGGACATTGTGCCTTCAAAGGCTGTAGCTCATTGGCAAGCGTGACCATCCCCAACTCCGTGACTTATATCGGAGAACGAGCTTTTGAAGGCTGCAGCTCATCGGCAAGCGTGACCATTCCCGATTCCGTGACTGGGATGGGACATTGTGCCTTCAAAGGCTGCGGCTAATTGGCAAGCGTGACCATCCCCAACTCCGCGACTGCTGTTGAAGGCTGCAGCTCATGGCAAGCGTGACCATCCCCAACTCCTTGACCTTAATTGGACATGGCGCCTTTGAGGCTGCATCTTCCTCATGGAGCCAAATGCGAGGGACCATGAAGACGTTTGTAGCTTCGAGTATGGCGAGCTGGGTTTTGGTTGAATGGTGGTTCCCGACAAGTTGCTGCTCAAAATTTGGGTTTCCCCCGACCCCAGGTTGTAGTTGAAAAACAGTATGTGCGATCCCTAGGTTCATAATTTGAGCTGCACCCATGTTGCAGAAGAACGCTTTGACTGCGCAGAAAGGGCGGCGACAGACCTTGCGCGCGTCAGAGCCCCAAACGAGGGTCGCATTTGTTGGGCCGTTTTGGTGATTCAGAAAACGGAGTGACTGGTACTTTGCAATTTCTGACAGAACGTCTGAAAGTCGCACTGACTCTACACGGCTTTTTTGGATTCCAGGTTAAGCCGTAGGGGTTGAACTGTATCTCATGTAGCCCGGTGCCGAAAGCAGAAGCGGAAGTTTGGATCCTCTTCAAAGGTTGCAAGGTCCCGCTTTCACATGCTTGTGGATGCAGCTAACCTTTAGAATAAGGCATATCGACTAATGTGTGAATCTCTTTAATGACAGTATGTAAGCCGAGTTGCACCTTTGGTCCAAACCGTGCTTCATGATTTGTCACACCAACATTTGGTCGAAGTGAAGCACCTCAAGCCTGTTGACAAGCCAATATTGTAGGCTAAGCATGGAAATTCGCTTTATGTCACGACACTCGACCGAAATGGCTGTTCGCAGCACATCCGGAAACACAGATGCTTCCCCATCCTTGCGCAGCAAGAGACCCATCCTTCTTTGTCCTTCCCAATGTGACCTCGAATTAATGCAGGCAAAGCAACCACAAGCCGTTGAATTTGCAGGGTTTCCGTTGTTCCCTTGCACTACTGTGTATGGACGAAATCCTGCACCATCTAAGAAACCCGAGAATGATATGATCCCCTGTAAATACCAACAAACAATAGTTTCCCATGGTGTCTTGGCTGGTGCGAAATGGATTTCGCAACCATCCACAGTATGATTGGTGTTATCCTTCTGATTGCAAGATGGCCATAGGTCAAAATCCCGCCCAATCCCCACTAAAATAGGTCAGCGCATTTTGGCTGTTGGTACCCAATACGGCTGTTGGTACCCAATCCCCACAATAGGTAAAAATGGCTGTTGGTACCCAATACCCAGAATGGTACCACGGTTTTGACCCACAGCCAAATGACCACCAGCCCACCGGAAGGCTCCCAGAGCCCTCTGCCGGTTCCTGAGGTATCTGTCGATGCCGCTGGAAGGCCTCGCCCCGGGCGGCGCTGGCTCCGGGGAGGCCGGGAGGGGAGTTGTTTCGTGATATTTGTTTGTCCTCTGCCTGGTTGCTTTGTTTGGTTGGTTTTTGTTTAATTGTCTGGTTGGTTGGTTTGCATTGTTTTGTTTTTTGTTTGTTTCTTTGTGTTTTGTTTTGTTGTGTTTCTTTGTCTTTTTTGTTTGTTTGTTTGTTTGGTTGGTTGGTTGGTTGGTTGGTTGGTTCGTTGTTTTGTCTTTGTCTGTTTGCTTGGTATGTTTGTCTGCTTGCTTGCTTGCCTTGCTTTGCCTTGCTTTGCCTTGCTTTGCCTTGCTTTGCCTTGCTTTGCCTTGCTTTGCCTTGCTTTGCCTTGCTTTGCCTTGCTTTGCCTTGCTTTGCCTTGCTTTGCTTTGCTTTGCCTTTGCTTTGCCTTGCTTTGCCTTGCTTTGCCTTGCTTTGCCTTGCTTTGCCTTGCTTTGCCTTGCTTTGCCTTGCTTTGCCTTGCTTTGCCTTGCTTTGCCTTGCTTTGCTTTGCATTTTTGTTGTTTTGCTTGGTTTTATTTAGTTCTTTATTTATGTTTTGTTTGTGTTTGGTTTGTCTGGTTGCTTGCTTGCTTGGTTGCTTGGTTGGTGGTTGGTTGGTTGGTTGGTTGGTTGGTTGGTTGGTTGGTTGGTTGGTTGGTTGGTCTGTCTGTCTGTCTGTCTGTCTGTCTGGTTGCTTGGTTTCCTTGTTTGTTTGTTTGTTTGTTTGTTTGTTTGTTTGTTTGTTTGCTTGCTTGCTTGCTTGTTTGTTTCCTTGTCTTGTCTTGTCTTGTCTTTCCTTGTGTTGTTTGTGTGTTTGTTTGTTTGTTTGTTTGTTTGTTTGTTTGTCTGTCTGGTTGCATATTTGTTTGTTTTTTTGGTCTGTTTCGCTTGTTTTGTTTGTTTGTTTGTAGTTGGTTTGTGCATTTGTTTGTTTGTTGTTGCTTGCTTGTTTGCTTGCTTGTTTGTTTGTTTGTTTGTTTGTTTGTTTGTTTGTTTGTTTGTTTGTTTATGAGATAGTTAGTTAGTTAGTTAGTTAGTTAGTTAGTTAGTTAGTTAGTTTGCTTTTGGTGTTTGTTTGTTTGTTTGTTTGTTTGTTTGTTTGTTTGTTTGTTTGTTTCGTCGTTTCTTTCCTTTCTTCTTCTTGTCTTTTTTTGTCTTGTCTCGCATGTGTTTCTCTCGTTTGTTTGTTCGTTCGTTCGTTCGTTCGTTTGTTTGTTTGTTTGTTTGTTTGTTTGTTTGTTTGTTTGTTTGTTTGTTTGTTCGTGTGTCTGTCTGTCTTTTGATATTGTAAAATGTTTTGTTTTGTTTGCTTCGGTTCTTTGTTTGTTTGGTTGTTTCATTGTTTGGATTTTGTTTGTCCGGTTGCTGTTGTGGGGTTGTTAAGGGCGGGGGGTGTAAGGGGATGGGGGTAGCTGGAAACCCCGGAAGGAATTACAAGCTTCCCTAGCACTTCCTAGCGCTCCCTAGCAAACCCTAGGACTCCCTCCCCAAGGACCCCTAGAGGCCCCGAAGAGATTCTTAGGCTCCCTTAAGCTCCCGCTTTGATCGTGGCTAGGTTGCGTTGTGTCCAAACGATGGCTTTACCCTTGCGCAAGTCACAGCTGCGTGCGCTTCTGGTCAGCCAGAATTCAGCGAGAGTGCAGTTTTAGCGGGGAGGTCCAGGGAACCTTGGGGGAACTCTGAAAATTCAATGGGAAGGCTTAGGGAAGCTTAGGGAGCCTCGGGGAAGCTTGGGGAGCCTTCGTTAGGAAAGCTGAGGGAGCCTTAGTGAAGCCTAAGGAAGCCTGGGGAATAGGAATTGGACTAATGAGCTACATTAGGTTGCCAGAAAAACAAGCAAAGGACCAAGTGCTTGGCGAAGAGATTCGTGGGCGGGAAAGGGAAATGAGGGTTGGAGGCGGATTCAGGATTTGAACCCTAGGCCTCTCTAGGGCTTCCTAGTCCACACCCATTTACCCCCCCTTTACACCCCCGCTCTTAACAACCTCATGATGCTTGGTTTGCTTTTTCTTTGTTGTGCTTTGTTTTGTTTTGCTTTCGTTTTAGTTTCTTTTTGGATAGTTTGGTTGCGTAGTTGGTTTGTTTGGTGGTTGTTTGTTTGCTTGATATTTTGTTTTGCTTTGCTTTGAATAGTGTTGTTTTGCTTTGTCGGTTTGTTTGTCTTTGCCTCTGTCTGTTTGTCTGTCTGGTTGCTTGGTTTCTTGGTTTCTTGGTTTCTTCCTTGGTTCCTTTGTTTGTTTGTGTGTTTGTTTGTTTGTTTCGTTTTTGCTTGTCAGCTTTTTTTTTGGCTTTTGTTTTGTACCGTTTTGTTTGTTTGCATTGCCTTGCTTGGTGTTGTTTTGTTTTGCGTGATTGTTTTGTCTGTGTGGTTGCTTGGTTCGTTTGTTTATTGGTTTGTTTGTTTGTTTGTTTGCTTGTTTGTTTGATTGCTTGGTTTGTTTGTTTGTTTGCTTGCTTGCTTGTTTGATTGTTTCGTTTCTGCTTCTCAGGTTGTTTGGTTTGTTTCATTGTCTTGCTTTGCTTTGCGTTGTTTTGTTTTGTTTATGTGATTTGCTTCGCTTGGTGTTGTTTTGTTTTGTTTGTTGTTTTTGTCTGTCTGGTTGCTTGGTTTGCTTGTTTGTTTGTTTGTTTGTTTGTCTGGTTTCTTTTCTTTTCTTGTCTTGGTTTGTTTGTTGGTTGTTTGTCTGTCTGGTCGCTTTTTTGTTCTGTTTTGCCTGCATTGTTTGTTTGTTTGTTTGTTTGTTTGTTTGTCTGCTTGCTCGCTTGAACTCGGTTGATTCGACGATGTATTCGGTTGTTGAGTTGTTTTTGTGTTTTAGTTTCTGTTATTTGGGTTTGCTTGCTTTGTGTTTCTGTTTGCTTCTTTTCTTTTGTTTTGTTTTGTCGCGTTTTGTTTGATTGTTTGTTTGTTTATTTGGGTTTTGGTTTGTGTGTTTGTTTGTTTTTTGTTTGATTGTTTGTTCGTTTGTGTTGTTGCTTGGTTTGTTGGTTTGTTGGTTTGTTGGTTTGTTGGTTTGTTGGTTTGTTTGTTGGTTGGTTGGTTTGTTTGTAGTTGTTTGTTTTGTTTGTTTGTTTGTTTGTTTGTTTGTTTATTTGTTTGTTTGCTTGCTTGCTCGGTTGTGTGCTCGTTTGTTGGTTTGCCTGTGTGTCCGTTTGCTTGCTTGCTTGCTTGTTTGTTTGTTTGTTTGTTTGTTTGTTTGTTTGTTTGTTTGTTTGTTTGTTTGGATGTCTGTCTGCCTGTCTGTGTGTATGTTTGCTTATTGTTTGTTTTGTTTGTTTGTTTTGTTCTTTGTTTGGTTGTTTGTTTGTTTTGTTTTGTTTGTTTGTTTCGCTTGTTTCAGGTTGCCCTTAGTTATTGGTTTGATTGGTTTGCATGTGGAGTTGAACCCCTCTTTGTAGAGGGTAAATGAAACCCCTAAGCTCCAAACCACCATGCAAACCGCCAAATGGTAAAGGTGGGAATCAAAGAGGGAGGGCTTTGATTGCTTTGTTTGGCTTTGCCTTGTTTTGTTTGTTCGGTTGTTTGTTTGTGTGTTTTGTTTTGTTTGGTTTGTTTGTTTGGTCTGTTTGTTTGTGTGTTTTGTTTTGTCTTGTTTTGCCGTTTTTTTGTTTGTTTGTTTGGTCGTTTGTTTGTTTTGTTGGTTGGTTGGTTGGTTGGTTGGTTGGTTGGTTGGTTGGTTGGTTGGTTGGTTGGTTGGTTGGTTGGCTGGTTGGCTGGCTGGGTGGGTGGGTGGGTGGGTTGGTTGGTTGGTTGGTTGGTTGGTTGGTTGGGTTTGTTTGGTTGGTTGGTTGGTTGGTTTGGTTTGCTTGCTTGTTTGTCTGGTTGCTTGATTGCTGTTTGTTTGCTTGCTTGCTTGTTTGTTTTGCTTTGTTTATTTGTTCAGTCTGTTTCAGGTACCCCTCAGTTGGTGGTTTGATTGGTTTGAACTGGATTGGAGCCCGCCTTTGTGGAGGGTAAATGGAACCCCCGCAAGCTGCGAACCACCATGCGCACCGCCAATCAGAGGGAGGCTGATTGTTTGTTTGTTTCTTTGTTCGTTCTTAGCCATGCTGGTTGACCAGCTTAACCATGGGTTCTGCCTGCCATGTCTTTTGGGTTGTGGGGGTTGGGGGTTGGGGGTTGGGCGAAGTGAGGAAGTTCCACCACCTGAGCTTGAGACGTCTCCGATGTCTTTTTTCCTTCTCTTTCTCCTTCTCCCTTTTTCGGGTGGGAGGGGAATCAAGCAGGGAGGCCTTTGATGGTCTTGCGTGTTTTTTCTTGGGTTCAAAGGACATGGCCAGATCCCAAAATCCTTTGCTCCCGTGAGGACCACGTGAAGTACACCATGACCTTGGAGCTGAAGCTTCCACTCCAGAGGCCCGCGCCCGTGGCTCCACCGGCCGGAGTCCTTGGTTGGTTGGGTTGAAAATAGACGGGGATGCCACTTCTTCGAATTGGTTGTAAACCATTTTGTGCAGGGAGCATTTTCCCACGTTCCATTTGCAAACCATTTGAAACCACATGTTGTAAACCATCCTCCACATTTTCCGCCTCAAAACCATCCATTTTGTGCCAAAAAGGGACGCCTATGTCCACCAAGTGAACCAATTTGGTCCGTAAGGCCCCTGAGCTTCGCTGGGAGTCCGAAGAGCTTGAGACCACTTCTGTTCGAGCAACTTGGCCACTTTGGGGTCGTGCTCAAATCCAATTTTTTCGGTTGGCATTGCCCCTTCCAAGCCTCCAGTCAGGCTTCACCCCGGCAAAAGCAGCCCCTCTTAGCAGTGTCGAACATGGTCTTGCCCTTCCGAGGGAAATGCCTGTAATCGACCATGAGGTGATCATCAAAGTGGGTTCATCACCACAGGTTTGATTTCGAGGTTTCCCTCCCAAAAGCAAACCTGGAACCTGACAGAGGGCCGGGGAAACATGTGCAAACCAGAAGGTCCCATTGAATTTGAGTGAGATGCTGCGCTTCCACTTGCGATCAGACTTGGATTTGCAGGTCTCAGCACCCAGTGGCACTGATGCAGGCGGGAGGAAACGGCCTGGGGGGGACTGGTCAGAAGCTCTGGGAGGCAAATGTGATGAATGCCCTCGCAAAATCGAGTGCTGGCTGTAGTCAAGCTCTTGAGCAGTGGACTCTGAACTTGAAACTTGCATTTTGCAAAGTTGTTTTTTATTTGACAGGTTGGCTTGACGCGGTTGCTTCTTTGGGCTTGACTTTTGCAGGACTGAATTGGTTTGGGTTGGAGTTTGGTCTCAGCTTGATCACTTTGGCTGCCAGATTCGCAACTTTCTTGCAGCCACGGGTCGCCCAGCCGATGTACATACCCTCGTGGCAGTTAGTAGTCTATAGTCCATTTGGGAGGACATGGAGCTCGAAATTTCAAGCACAGCAGCCACCAGTCGCCGAGTTTTCCGATTTCCCCCTGCCTCCTTCAGGGGGAGACGTCGCTTTTTCGCCGTGCCTCACCATGGGTCTCGCCCAAAGCATGGGGGGAACTGGGTCCAGTCCCTGCCATCCAGGCCTCCTGGCCGGAGGTGTCAGGCCTCGGCGGGAGGGTCACGATGTCTGGAGGGGTCGATGCCGAGTGTACCTTTTTGCCTTTTTGTTCGGCGAGGGGGATGTAAACCCTGCGAAAAGTCGGGATTGCCCTTGGGGCCTTTTTCTTATATGCAGCCGAAAAGGGTACCGAGCCTCAAGAACTGATCAGGCCCATGTAAGCTGAAGTCAACTGATTGAAGCCAAGGGCGAGGAGCCGCAACCAGGAACATCCAGTTCGGTCGGTCGAAAAATCTCGCGTCGCTTGTCTATTGGACACAGGAAAACCCCGAAGACTCACTCATCTTCATGTCCCTTACAGCAATCACCAAGCTTTGACCTGTTGGCCATTTGATTTCTGCTTGTATCGCGGGGGCAGTATGGTGCTCAGCATTGGCGGATGTGCCGTAGTTCGAATGGACATGTTTTCGTTTGGATCAAGTGGATTGTGGTCAATAAGGCTGGCCTGCAACACTTGAGTACGTAATATACATATGTCATATATGCATTGACATATACAACAAATGCAGCCCTTGCCGCATGCCAGGGTTCCCAAGCTGGTTTTGACAGACATCGTTTATGTCAAAGCCGGTATCTCCGATTTGTATCCATTTGGTGCTTTGCAGGAATAGCTCCACTTGGGGGGGGTCTTTGCCGGCCTGAAGAGGCATGCCGCAGCTGTCGGCGGTGGCGGATGAGTACGTCCCTGCGCCTTGGCCGCTCATGCTGGGGTACCCCCAACATGGATGTCGGTCAAACCCTTTCGCGGGCGAAAAGGGTCTGTTTAAGGGGGCGACATTTTGCTTTTGGTTTGTTTGAGGCGGCTCCCTTTTCCCAGCTTGGTGGTTTGGACGTTGGGTGCCATACAGGAATGACCAAAATGAACAACCAGACAGGAACCCCCCCAAATGGGTAACCATAAGGGAACACCACCGGGAATCGTTCATGTGGGTTGTGTCAAAATAGGGGATCCCCAAAATGGGTGTTGTCCTTTTGATTTCCCTTTGAATCAATCCCGTTTGGGGCTCTCCGAGAAGATGCAACAGCTAGCCGTTGGCTGGTCTGGGTAGCTGGGGGCAACGCTGGCATAGCTGAGCCGTCCCAAAACCTCACACAGCGGCCCATCTCCGGGCCTTGATGAACCAACCCCATCGCCCGGTGTAAGTTCTAAGAAAGCCCAAAGCCAACCAGCACCAAGCGAATTTAAACTCTCGTCAAGCGCAGATGCTGTGACACATGCTGCGACACATGTCCACTTGGGCAAATGCAGTGGCTTTCTGGCAGGGAGCTGAAATCAGTGTCATCCATTTTCAGCCTGCGGCGCAAATCGCCATTTTGACACTCAGCCCTGGAACCCGACAACCGCCGTTTGCCACGCCTGGCCGCATATGGCGCTTTGAGGTGCACCCCAGCGAGCGCGAGGCCTGCGAGGCGTGGCGCGACGACTTGTGGAGAGGTTTCGTCCCCGGTTTGCTCGAGAGGTCACCTCGAAGAAACATGGGGTGGAATTCCTTCCACATACTGTGGATGGACAAAATCCATCTTGCACCACCTAAGAATCCCTGGTTGCTGATGATTCTCCTGTAAAAACCACCAAATTATGGTTTCCCATGGTTTCAAAGTGGTGTGAAATGGATTTCGTCCATCCACAGTAGGGAATCTCTTTTCCGTACTGTTGGTTTCAAAAAGGAAACGGCCAGGACGGGGAAATCTGTGTGGCACCTCACTGCCATGTCTTGCAGGAACAACGACAAGCCTTCACAGGTGCTGTGGCCGGCATGACAAGGTTTGCTCCGGCCTTTTTCTTTTGTAGCTTGGCATTTCAAGGGCGATGGAGAAAACGGCATTTCACGGCTGATGGGGCAAACAAGGTGTCGGATCTCACATTTGGGGACTCTCCTTCTGGGTGTCAAACTAGGGGTCCGGCCAAAGGGTGGCTTTTGTTTCGGTTTCCCAGCACTTATGCCCCTGGTTGATTAATATGTTTTGGTGTTCCCTTCCTTTTGGAATTTATCGCTTAGGGGAACCCCCCTTAACAGAATTGCTTTATCAATCTGGGACCAACGTGACCCTTCCCGCTGGCCAATAAGTCTGCACCCGGGCAGAAGTATCCGCCTTCCTTGGCGACCTCTCGTCACCGCTCCGGACCAAACATCTGGTTGGATTTCTCATGATCCCAAAAGCAAAAGGGTCCATCTCTGCATGTGGAGCATGACTCCATTCCATCCTGCCTACCTGGTAGATCTCCACAAGTATCCCACACAAATACTAATTTGCAATATGCATATATATATATATATACATATACATATGTATGTATTGTATATATATATATATATATATCTGTATATATATATATATATATGTATAAAAACGGAGCCCACAAACGGCCAATCCGATCTCCTAAAAAGCGATACGCGGCCGCTTGAAAGCCCGGCTAGGAGATCGAGCCGGGGTCCACATGGCACTGGCACCTCCAGGCGGAGCCACCTGATTCGCCAGGGATCAAAAAGGTGTCGTCCACTTGCTGGTTTCCGCGACTAAAGCCACCCCAAAAAAACGGGTGTGTGCCCTCTAGGGGGATGCACCACTCTTGGGATAGTGACCTGAGGTAGACAGCATCTTAGATCCGCACAACTTTTCGTCCAAGAAACAGAGACAGCCCGAATCCTCCTTGTCCGGCTTGGCTCATGTGGACATGTCAGAATTTCGGACCTCCCATTTGCTTACTTGGGGTAAATGGGGGTGTCATCAATCCTCTCGTTGAGAATGCCGCATGCTCAAGTTATACGATGATGAGGGAGCTTGGTACAACAAGACGAAATCCTTAAACATATAAGTCCGTTGTCTTGATGTCATGGTCGTTTCATTCGCGGTGAAAATTTTGGGTGTCATCCAATTCATTGCAGAGGCAAGCTGGGCAAGCTTCCATGCGTAGGCTGTTCTTGTCACCTAATTTCATTCCATAGATTAGATTGTGTAAGGTATCCAAGGGGACCTCAAAATCCTTCTTCAAAAATGTCTCAGCATTTCTTGCTACCTCTGCCAGTTCCCAGCTACCATCACCGGTGGGTTCACCATCTAGGAATCCTCACAAAATCGGAGGGATTTTGGCGGGTTCTCTGCCTTGGAAGATCATTTCCCCCCAAATTCCACGGACCCTTAGTTTTGTGAGGAACGGGCTCAGCCGGTGACCATATCTGCCAAAAGGGTTACTTCACCCGACACAACGCCCGATGGTGTTTCCCAGAAACCGGTTTCTCAATAATCACTTTGGTGCATTTTGCTTGGCTGTTAGGACTTGAACTTTTCGCCAGCTAGTGGGTTTTCCGTACTAAACCACCAAAAGTGAGTCACTTTTAGCAGGGCTTCGCAGATTTCGCCACCGAGATCATGTTCCTACGGGCCTCCAGGAAGGCTCCGGAGTTGAGGTCTGAAAGCTGCGGCAAGAAATCGCCTCACGCTCCGAGCCTCATGCGTCAAGGTGGAGGGACGTTTTCAAAGAAGTGCTCGTGTCAGTCTGGGATGGAACCTGTGCAGGTGTAGGGGACCCCCAAAATGGTTGGATTCCTTTGACATGAAGAAGGACATGTCATTGCATCGTTTTGATTGACATTCTTGCTGCAACTTTCAATTGAACCCAAAGACATCAATATCCAATTTTGGGCAGCACCCATGAAGTTGTTCTAGCATGCTGGGGCAGTGGAGGTAGGCCAGTGACCAAGGCAGTCCCATGAAACACCCAGTGGCCAGATTGCAAAGGGCCCGTAGCTTGGGAAATGGGAGCACTTACCTAACCTGACCCGACCTGACCTAACCGACCGACCGACCGAGCGACTGATTGACCGGTGAATTCTATGAACCTTGATGCAAAGGACACATGGCTGTGGGTCAAAACCAATGGTCCCATTTTGGTTGGTAGGTGAATTCACCACCCATTTTTAGAACCTATTTTAGTGGTTGGATTGAATCGGATGTTCACTGGGACAGGATTTTGAGCCATGGCCACATGCCGCTGTGTCTCGCTTCTGCCAGGTGGGTAGCGTCGTGCTGAACAAGTCGGCTCTCCGGCCTGGTAGGTGGAGCAAAGGGGGGTGAGAGCGCGCTTGAGTATCGCCCGCTGGGGTTGGCTTAGGAGTCCCCCTTTTCGAAGGGTCACCGGGGCCCTGTGCTGGCAGACAGGCTGATACATGGAGTCCTCACATAGCGTTTTGGGTACTTAAAAGGTTTCATCCGATAGGTGGCTTTCTGCACTCAACTTGTCTCTGACCATCATGGTCTTTGCGTTAAGATTTTCAGACCAGCATCATGATGATCTTCTGGGGGCTCTGTTTCTTGGCTCTCCACCGGTTTTTGGCCTGAATTTGGTCGCAGAACTCCAGTCGAGTGATACCAGGTGGCACGAGGTGGCGCTGGTTGTGAACTGCAAGGAGAGCCGCGTCATCGTCTTCGTGGATGGCAAGCAGGTTCCGATGTGTGTTTGGGAGAGGGGATGGGTGCGGGCAAAAAGGCTGGGAAAGCCCACTCTGACAATTTGTGAGAGTCAGAACCGGAGCTGGGGATGCGAGGGTCGAACTGATGCAAAATCATTTCTGGTAGGTCCTGGAGTACGAAGATAGGGGGCAAGTCAGCCAAAGTTGACCGAGCAGCCAGTGGAACATCAACAAGCCATCACAAGGCACCTGTCTAGCATGGCCGAACGGGGTATGTATAGTTTTTATATCAAGTCGTAGTGTGTTTAGAGGCGTTGCAGTGGTGGGTATGGAAACCCAGTCGGATGCAACCATGTTTTGGATGCGTGAGCCACAGGCATGATACTTGCAGTTGATGGCGCCCAGCTTTTCCGCAGGCTCGGCATGGCAGAGGCAACTTGCGCAGCCCCAGCACTTTTTCCTCCATGATTCTTGAGCACAACCGTTTGTGTGTTTTTGAAGGGAGCCAGCACGCGGCTGCTTTGTTTGGGTTTGACGACTTGGATGGCTGGGGAACGATTTGGGGCCGTTTCAGAGCACCGCCCCGGCCTTCGATGCCGGACTTACGACACGCAAGGATGAAGCTCATCTCAGCCAAGTTGGAGTCTCACACGATTCCATGCCGATATCCTCACCTAGAGCGATTGCCTCTTTCAGTTTTTAGAAACCCACAGGCCATTCCTTCGCCCTTCCATCGCCTTCAACCCTATCTTTTACCCCTCGGCCATGGAATCCAGCCCCGGCCTACAGTGTACTCCCTGTGAAGCTTGGGCTTTTCTCCGAGTCTTAAGCTTTCGCCTCACTTAACAGGTCTGTTTGAAGTCCTATGGTAGAGGGCAATGGCGTCTGGCGCGCTGCCGCCAAGCTCCGGCTGCTGCTGCTTCGACGCAGACTCCGTGCTACCAGCCCCAACGGCTCCTTCGCAGCTGCCACACGCGTCGATGGCGCCGTGCTGGCTGCGGTGGAGGCGCGAGTCGATGGCTCCTTGTTCACGAAGGAAACGAAGAGTCAGCTTTTCTGCTTTACATCGACCGGCAGCCAGCTGAAGTATTTTTAGCAAACACACAAGTGGGCAAGGGTCTGGAAAAAAAGTATAACACATTCCGTCTGTTGACTTCCATGTGCCTTTGAGGGTGGCCGAACCAGAATCCAAGCAATTGTATTGGCTGTTGGGGTGTGGCTTGCAAAGGCTCAGCTTGGATCAAGCGGCCGCTTGGGTTGGTTGGCTCCGCATCGATGCCAGGCAATCGGCAAGAGCCTCTTCCTGCACTTCGAGTCAAGGGAGGGGCCTTTGACCGTGCAGCTCCACTTTGGGATGTCAGGCTCGGCAGAGGGCGGGTGTGGGCAGCGCAGGGTCATTGGTGGACTTGCACAGCTTGCGACTTGCAGAGAGGCTGCGGGGGGTGGATCATGAGTGCTGGCAGCTTGCTGCCATTCTTGCTTGCCAGCTCTCGATTAGGCCCAGTCACGAGAGGGCCTGTCCAATCGTTTCCCACTCCCATCTGAGGGGCTAGCTCGTTTTTTTTTTGGTTGTACTGGAGAGGAAGCAAAGGCACTTTGAGGACCCGTCACGTTTGCCATTCTTGAAGGACGAGCACGGGTCCTTTGTTCGGACGTTGTATCTACCGTCCGTCCGCCTTCCGCGAGACGCGGACAGGCGGCTTCCCCCTCTTCCGGCGCTCGGAGGATCCGGGGGCCCGCAAGACCTCGCGCCTGCGCCTGGAGTGCAAGGAGACAGAGGCCAAGCTCATGGGCTCGAGCGCTTGCAATTTGCCAGCAACGTGTACTCTGGTTCTTGGCTGCCTGCTGTGGCTGTGTGTCTGTTTGTTGTGATATATATATATATATATGTATGTGTGTATGTGTTGTTCTCTCTTGTCTTGTCTTGTCCTGTTTTGTCTTGTCTGGTCTTGTGTTCGTTCGTTTGTTTGCTTGCTTGCTTGCTTGCTTGTTTGTTTACTTGCCTGTTGGTTGGTTGGTTGGTTGGTTGGTTGGTTGGTTGGTTGGTTGGTTGGTTGCTTGGTTGCTTGGTTGCTTGGTTGCTTGCTTGCTTGCTTGTTTGTCTGGGTTGGGTCTCAAGGGAACACGCTGCCTGCCCCGCCTATGCTCAGAGAAGTGTCGGTATTCTGATTCCGCGCATTTGTTGCCTGCGGCAAATGCGAAAGTTATTTCCCATTCTTTATGTGCTTGCCAATCGTTTTGCTTGTTTGCTGGTATGCATGTCCAGCATTGGCAAGGTGTTTATCGCCCAGTTGTCGAAGTGCATTATTGTAAACGCTGCGCGTTGCCCGCCTCGGCCCAGCCGAGCGCGCAGCGTCTGTGGTTCGACTGCAAGCGGAATGGACGGACCACTTGATGTCATGGGTCGAAGTTGCCCAGGAATCCCTGGAGGCAAGGGCAAGGCGATGCATAGGACCAGGAGTGAGTCATGGAGCCAAGAGTCAATGGCGCTGCGTGCTGGGGCAGTGGATGTCATGGGCGGAAGTTGCGCAGAAAGTCACGACAACCAAAGCAGAGCTGTGGTGATCAGCCCGCACGGCAATTTTTTTTCAAGCGTGGATCGGTCGGAGCGTGAGTGGGCTGCTGGCTGGTTCTCAGGCTAGTCTCAGCACGCCGGACAGGTGGTTGGGCAGCTGGACTTGGCTGAGCTTGAGGGTGCTTGCTGGTTGGGCTGGGCCTGAGGCTAGTGCGCGGACATGGGCGAGGGGGGGGTGGGGGGGGTGGGTATCTGTGCACCTTGGTTGCGGACCAGTCAATCCACTAAGAGGAACAGTGGGCGACAAGATTAGTTCTTCGCCTGCCGTCGAAGCAGGGTAGATGCACGCCAGATGGTTTGGGAGTGTTCTTGCCGGCAACTGCATCCTTGACGCCGCTTCGAGAAAAAACAGCCAACATCTTTGGGGGGTGCAGCCGCTCAGAAACTCATCGCGTTTGGGCACCACCACACTGAGACCCAAATGAGTTTTCCGGACTGTGTGACCAGTGCATAAGATGGCAGACCGGACTGGGTCACCATGCGTCCAGCCAGGTGGTGGGTTACATGTCGGGCATCCGGTGCCGGCTGCTGACGGCGAAGGAGTTCGGCCAGGTGCAGCGGAGTCTGGGCCCGGACCCTCTGCGTTTGGACAGCGATCCCAGGAGCGGGCCGGGAGGTGGCGGGGGCAGAGGAAGGATGGAGTCTCCATCGAACGACACTTGCCATAGGGCCACTTGCTCGGCCGATAGATTCTCACCGAGTCAGGTTTGCCCAACCAAACTGAGCCACAATCAAGACCCGGGTAGATGAAGGTTAGTAAGGGACAATCCCAACCATAAATAGCTGCGGCCGCCTTCGTAATTCTTTGCGTGGTCCTCGGTAGACTATTCTAATACCAGGTTTTGCTTATGACTCAACCGTCCCTTGGCCGGTGGCCGGCGCTGGCGCTGCCACCGATGTTTGCCGCGCCCGGCGCCACGCCCAGGAGGGCCTGGCGGGCTATGCAGGCCACCGGCCGCGGAGTCGGCTTGGCGCTGATGGACCAGGCGGTGCTCGCAGGCGCCGGTCGGTTGGGACGGCCGAAGGTCGCAAGGAACCGACGCCCGTGCCCGTTTTGTTTGCCCTTCTCCTACAACGTGCTTGTTCCCCCAGAAGCGCAACATGAGAAAAAACAAGGGAACATGTTTTCGCCAGCCTTTTACTTCGCCACTGTGCTATGACTCCAGTATTTCCAATTTCCCGCAATGCCAGGGTAACGTATTTCACTCTCCGCGCGCGGAAGGTGTGGGCAACATCTACCGAGCCGAAGTTCTGCACAGACTGAAGCTGCACCCGCTGCGGCCCGCCTGCAGCCTGTCGAGTCAGGAGGTTTGGCGCTTGTGGCAGGAGAGGCACCCATCAATCTGTGCAGCCACAGATGGTGCGCGGATACACCGGGGTTGGAGGAAGGAGATCGTAAGCCTTAGATCCCAGAGGCCAACCACTTCTGGGCGAGGCCGAAAGGGGGATTCTTGGAGTCCCTGTGCATCTATGGTGGACCGGCCCTTTGTGCGCTGTTTTGGAAGCCTTGGCCTCCAAGCCCTCCAAAAACTGAATACGCTAGGGTCGAAGATCTGGCGATGGAGTTGGTGGAATGGGTGACGTCCCTTGCGAGGAGTGCGCGATGCTGCTGCAGCTGGGCGCGCGCTCCGGGGGGCTGGTCACCGTCCTGGACGCTGAGTGGGAGAGGCTCAAAGGCGACGGGAAGAGCCGGGAGGCCCGCAAGCGAAGGCGCGGTGTGCCGAAGTGCGCCGATTTGGACGTTGCCCTCGGCAGCGCTGGTTTTGTCGACCCTTTTTGCGGGGGGGAGGGTGGGTCAATACGGGTGACCGTAGAGATAGGACTTGGGATCATTGCCAATTTTGCAGCAAGTGCTTGTTGCGACGGACCTGTCGCCAGTCGGGAAGCAGGTCCTCAAAAAGGAGGTGATTTTATGCCCAGGCACGACTGGCTGATTCTGTTTACGGAATCCACCAGATCTTCCCCTCAGTCAAAGTTGTTGGCATTTTGTTTGACACCTCTCCTGGCCCAGCCTTGAGACAGTTTTCAGGAGACCTTTGTTCGGCTTTGAATATCACCCACACCAAGGTAGTCGATTCAGATGCACAAAACCCACCCTGTAGGGACTGTTGTTAAAAAAGGCGCTTGGTGAAATCCCCGAAATTTGTTTCTTTTTGTTTGGGTTGCCTTGCTCAAATTCAAAAGGTCCCCCCCACAAAAAAGAAGGAATTGCCCAAAAGAACCCCTCAAAGGGTTTGAACACGGACCTCGGGGGGGTCTTCCAGAAAAGAAAATAGATGGCACAACTCTCAAATGTTGGTCAATCTCCTCTTCGTCCCCAAATTTAGGGACTTGTGCCATCTGCTTTCACCTGTAAAATAACAAGAACTGGTGACGTCCTCAAATCGGTGCTTCAAAGGGATCCCCACTCTGCAAGGACAAACATAGAGAGCTAGATAACTTGCTGGTGCTCAGCAGGGAATGTGGGAACGAACCCAGGCATTCCCGGATAAAGGAAACCACAACAAATGGTTTGTTAGGGCTCATTCGCTCATGTCCTGCTGAGCACCAGCAAGATACACATGCCCCTCAAAAACGAAGACGCTTCAAGGTGGGTCTACTTCCGGAAGAGTTGCCTCAGCTGCGGCGGACCCGTCCGGTGCTGGACCCTCGGCGGCCGCATCTGCTTCGCCTGCGAGGCTTGCCAGCCGCCGCAGGAGGCAGAGGACCCGCTGTCATGAATTTTGAGTAAGGGAACCTTTGGGGATTTGTTTTCTTCTGGATGTATGTCCAGCAACTGCTTATGACGTGGTTCTCTATTGAAATCCATAGCTTGAAACGAGGTGCGGTTAAAGTTTCCCGATTGTCCATTCGGGAGAGACATGGGAGTACAACTTTTCTTCGCTCACTATGTTGTCCATATCATTTTGAACGTTGCTAAAAAATCGGGGTACCCTTTTCAAGGTGTTTTATACTACCAGTACCATTAGTTTTGAGAATGGGAAACCAAGGGGCGATTTAGCACCCATCAATCGAACAATCGAAATGCAAAGCAACACACACACACACACACATATGCTCGAATTGTTTTTGTCGGGACAACTTTTTCTTGTCCCTGAACATGCCTGCAATTGGACGTGTGGATTGGGATAGGGAACCTGAGTAGTTCAATGATCCCCGCGCAAAGTGGAAATTCTTACAGACAAGCAAGCGCCGCCCACTGAAAGGGCTACTTGGTACTTCGCTTGAACCAAAGTTGCTCGGTCCATGAAATGGACAGGGGGACTCATTAAAGTGAGAAGCAGCTTGCCGAACGCAAGCGGGAGAAAACGCAAGCACCCCGGAAAAAAAAAAAAACACATCTCGATCATAGGTCATATGCACACCATGTCCATATGCCGTCCGATCACTCTCACCTGCGTTGGGTTTGAGTGCTATCTCTCGCCTCAGGAGTGCCAGTTGGTGCGGAGCAGTGGAAGGACGCGGCTTTGGTCGGGCGGTTGGTGGGCGGAGCCAGGGGAGTTTTGCGGAACCTGCGGAGACCTATGGACCAAGACTTTCGATTTGCTGCGCTTCCATCACAAGTTTTGGATCTTTGGAGGCTGGCAACATTGGGAGTTCTAATTTGGCATCTGGGAAACCCTACCCCCCTCCACCCCCCAAACCGTTGTATGTCAAAAAACGCGCGCAGGACGCTGTCCTGGCCCTCCGCCGCTTTCGAGTCGGACCTCGCCGCCGGGCCCCCGGGCCTCGACGCGTCGGAGGCGAAGGAGACGGCGCCGGAGCTGCGGCGCCGGCTGGCGGAGCGGCTGCTGGCCACGGAGGGCCGGAAGGAGGAGCGACGGAGCCTGGAGCGGGCGAGCGCACTGGGCATGGGTCAAAAAGCGGCCACCAGGTGACATAGGTGTCATAGGTGTCATAGAACCATGTATGTGGGCCAAACCCATTTTGGGGGTTTTCCATGGGGTACGATTTGGACATCATTTTGATGTTCACTGGGGTACGATTTGGATTTTGATCCATGGCCAATTGGGTATGGGTCAAAAGTCAGCCACCAGGTATCATAGGTGTCACAGGTGGCATAGGTGTCCTTAGGTGGGTATGGGTCAAAACTAGTCACAACCAGGATTTGGACCGCAGGTTTGAATGTCCATGTTTCCATTCACCAGGGGAACTCATTTTGGGGTTACCCTATTATTTTTCACCCAAGGCGACGTGTTAGACCAACTAGATAGGGTGCCCTTGAGTTGAGGAATAGTGACTTGGCTGTGGGTCAAAACCAATGGTACCATTTTGGGGGGTTTTCCATGCACTACCCATTTTAGAACCTGTTTTGGTGTTGGATTGTTATGTTCACTGCGGTTACGATTTGGATCTTGACCCATGGCCACTTGTCACTTTCTGCTACTTGACAACAGCCTCGAGGTGGTGTGCCGATATTTTTCCTCCTGCGCCGGTGAGCGCCGCGGTTTTTTCGGGCCCTTCAACCCGAGCTCTTGGCGCGGGCGCTTGGCGCAGGAGCTGCTGGGCCGCTGGCAGAGGCACCGGAGGTTCCACGGGCCCGGCTTCCAGCGGGCCTACTACGGCCAGGCCGCCTCGGGTTCCTCGGGTTGGCCTCGAGAGTTGGCAGCTGCTTTGCGCAGCGGCTCGGAACTCATCTCCCTTCCCCTCCCGGCAGAAAGTCCGCATCGATCTTACCTTTGGGGGTCCCCTTTGTAGTGGCTTCCGTGAGATCACGGATTTGGGTTGGATCCAGGATCCTCCATTTTGAACCGCCCAGCTTGAATCCCGAGTTTGAGCCACGCCGATCTGAAATTCGTACTTTGACCATCCAGAGAGCGACATGAAACATGCTGGAATTTGGTTGGCTCCACTTCAGGCTGGCCAAATATCAGCGAGTTCAAGATGAGGAGTTGCTTTGGATAAGTCGTCGCAAACCATTTGGGTGTGTCTTGTTTTTGGAATCGGACTCCCAATTTTTGGTGGCTTTCCTTTTGGCCTTCCTTTAAAGCCACCAAACAAAGGGGTACCCGCAAAAAAGAGCCGCCCATGTCTGCGAACCACCCCTTTGGTTCGTTTTTTTGGAAGCCAAAGGGACTGCGCTACACAGATTTTAGGTGGAGATGCTGCCAGGACTTAGGTCTCTAAAGGCACCACCCATTTTAGTCTATTTTAGTGATTGGGATGTTCACTGGGGGTACGGGATTTTGACCCATGACCATTTCTCTTATGATCATGACAAAACATAACATTTCAGCACCCCCACAACCTCATTCTGATCGTTGAGTTGGTTTCTTCTTCTTGTAAAACAAGAAGACAAAAAGCAAACCATTTGCTTTGTATCGCCTCACGCATGTTTTGTCTTACAGTCCGTGGCCTGGGTTCCGGAGGTGTCCAAAGAAGCCACCTCCCCTTGGCCGGAAGATGTAGAGGAGGCCAAGGAGACGTGCGCTACGGGCGGTTGACTTCGTGCCGAAAGCTTCGGACTCTACGATCAAAGCTTAGATGAAGGGAACTGTACTTCACTGTTGTTGGCGAGCTTCTAGATTTTTTCAGTTTTGTTGGTTTTCTTCATTTTTCGCAGGGCAGCAAAAGCACTTTTTGCCACCAGACCAAGGGTTGGAAAGGTGGTAAGTGCCAGTCCCAGCCCAATGATTGCGGATATCCGCCCTTTGATTCTTTGCGTGAGTGTTTTAATACCAAGGTTTTTATCATGATTCAGCTGGCGGTCCCGTGCATGATGATTAGGGGGCCCAAAACAGGCTCTAAATGGATTCCAGCTTGGACACCCGAAAGGACAGTTATTTGTGTAGCATCCTAGAACCCATGGGTTGCTTCACTCAAAACGAGGGTTGGCAGCAACATTCGGCTTTTGAAGTTAGTCTTGGTCTCTGCTCATCCAGGCCAGCCGTGCCATTTAGTGTGCTTCAAAATAGGGAGAATGGTGGCTTTCCTTGGAACCATCCTACAAAGAAACTCCACATCGGTGGAAAAAAAGATCATGGCCCCTAGAATTCCTCCCTGCGGCTGTTCACCGCGAGGAGTTTGCAGCTTTGCACTGCTGGCGCAGCCCGGCCGCGCTGCACGCCTGGGCCAACGTGGACCCAAAGCGGTTCCGCTACGGGCGCCTTTCAGGGCGGCGGCGCACCAAGGAGAGCCGGTGGAAATGAAGGGCACATCCTGCAAAATGGCAGTGGCTCAGTTACGCAGGTTTTGGTCCATGTTTCCACTGACCAGGGTTCCATTTTGGTACCGGTTTTTTGAGCCATACCCAAATGTTTGCAAAAGGCTTTTTCAAAGGGCTTGCCCGGTGAAATGGGGGTGCCTGGGCTGGCGTTTTCTCGCAAGTCTGTTGAAAGCATATCATGTATATATATATATATAGGTGGATTCCTTTGGGCTTCGACCTAGCCAGTCGTGGGAACAGTGAGCAAGGTCAAAAGCCGCTTAGGCGCCCTGTGCCTCCTTCCAGACTGAAGCCAACGTTCCAGAGAGGCTTCTGGAGAGCTTCTAAAGACCGTGCAAGACGGAAAGACACCCTCCTTGACGCTCTTGGCGACAAGGCTCCTGGTCGTTGGGCATATCGCAAGAGTGGCGTTGCTCTCCGATGGCTCCACCAGTTGGCACATGGAGGCACTAAGCTCGGGAGTTGAGAAGTTGAAAGAATGTGTCCGTTTTTTTGGAAGGCAGGTGCGCGAATGCGCTTGAATCTGTTTCAAGGTTCTGCGAAAGGTTTTGGCGAGCGGTGGCCCCTTGCCGCGAATTGTTGGATCCAGGAGGGTGCCGACCTCGACGTCGAGGCGCTCAAAGAGCTCGAGGTCCAGGGGCCCCCGAAGGCTTTGCCGGAGGCGAGCGCGACGGGCGCAGAGCCGCTCACGCCGCCCAAGACGAGGGCGCGTGGCGGCTCGCCGGCGCCCAAGCGCCGGAAGTTGCGATTTCCGTCTCTGCGCGGGGAGGGCCAAGTCTTCGACCTGCGCGACCAGGACGCGGAGAAAGGGCTCGGGGGTTGGGGGGGGGGGGGAACGACCTGGCTGGCTGCTGGAGGAGTGCTGAACACCCTTGGTACTGTGGCCAGGTCCGGGACGACAAGGGCGAGAGCTGGGTGGCCATCCCTGAGAGCACAGGAGCGCGGGGATGGTGGCTCGTTTTTTGGAGGGTACCGTTTTGGGGCTTGCGGAAACCAAAAGGACAACCGAGGCCATTTGTGGATTTCCGCTAGTTTGACACATTCTTCAAGTGGCTCTTTCACAGGAATCGAAGCAGGGAACACCCTGAAAAATGGTTGGTGGACACAAGTCCACCATGTATTTCGGATGGCCACCAACAGGTCCAATCCATTCGGTTCGCGTCGACAACCCCAAAAACTGGCCATTTAAGGACCCCAAACAGTTCAAAAGCTCGTCAATTGAACCAACCCGAGATCAACTGGGACTTCCGGCCTTCGGGTTGGACCTTTCACCGGACAGCTTGGCTAGGACATTTAATGGGGGACTACCTGCGAAGTGGTTGGTGGACATGCTTTGTCACCTACATCGTTCCCTAATAAAATCCCCCCCCCAAACATCTGTATGGATATATATATATATATGAGACGCCATATGGTAAAGTTGTTTGACTGCCAAAGACTTCAAGCCTCCCTAAATCTCGGCCCAGAATATATTTTTTGTGAACTACAACCACCCACCTCAATCCGGAAGAAGCCAAAAGTAGATCCCCCCGCGGCGACCCGCTCGCTCGGCCGTGAGGCAAGTCGCCCATGGCCATCAAGCGCGGGGGCTTCTTGCTCTTCGCGGCCGCCGAGGCGCGTCTCTGGGGCCCAGGACTTCGGAGGTTGAAGTCCTTGAAGGGCCACGGCACAAATTTGGCCCTAAGAACCCTGGAACCGGCACGGAAACGGTCTTCCAAGCCCTTGGCCGGCTTCGAACAGCTGGTGGGGAGGGTATTTGCGAAGGAAGCCCAGGAAGGACAGCTGAACCTTGAGTTTTTTTTCTTTTTCGCAGACCAACTAGTGGAAAGCCGCACATTTTTGAACCGGAACCCAAGATGGTTGGCGTCCTTTTGTTCGCGCCATTCTTGAGGTGTCTCTGTGTGCGGATGTGTCCTTCGGGAATGGCCCTGATGAACATTTGGAGCGTTTGCGTACCAGGAGTCTGAATCAAACTCATGTCCAGACTTGGCCAACCTTTTTGGTTCTTTAATCGGTATGTTCCATCCTTGTTCCGTTCACCGGCAATTCTATCACATTGAACCGTTGAAAGCCCAAGTTATTTCTGGATCAAAGGACAGCAAAAGAGAAACTGGAGGAAGGTTTGTTAAAAAGGGGCTCACCTTGGGCCCAAATGCAGGGCTCTCATGTAGTTCTAAATTGGGACCTTCTCTTTAGCTCAACTCTCCAGTCTCCTTTGGGTTGCCTAGCTGCTTGTCTGCTTGGCCCTCGTGCAACGATGTCATGAGCAACACACTGTTTTGACCGCTGTCTACTGTAGGGATGACATTGGGTACATCATTCCTTGCCACCGTCAACCTGGTGGCGTATAATTCCGCCCTGAGTTTCTTGCTTGCCAGAAAGAGGCCCATGAGGGTCAGGTCAATTGCCAGCATGTTTCACAGGCCAAGGGACTTGTGATTCTCGAGGGACAGCCAAACGGTGCGAGGATACTCCCAGTACTCGGAGCCTACGGCCTAGAAAAACATGTATTTGATATTAGCGTTTTCCGTCCACTGATCGGTTCAAGCTTGCCCTCATTTTGCATGTGAATGTGATCTGATGGGCAAATGAGCGAAGTTAATGGAGGTGACGTTGACGCTACCTGCAGATTCACACAGGCCCCCACAATGGGTGGTTGGGTACACTTTAAAAAGACACACCCACACACACACACACAAACACGTCGCGCATATACACCCTGCTTGCCGATAGTATAGCCTTTACACGCAATGTGTATCGGGGATGGTTGGACACATGTTTGTTGCACCCGGACCGGACCCTCAAAAGACACACCCATTTGTTCATTGCAGCCGCTGGGGCGGTACCACTTTTTCACCCGCAGACGAAGACGAATTGCGAAGACGAATTCCCGAAAACAAATTCCAACCCGAAGACGAATTGCGAAGACGAATTCCCGAAGCCGACTTCCGTCCCGAAGCCGAATTTACCCCCGAAGACGAATTGCGAAGACGAATTCCAACCCGAAGACGAATTGCGAAGACGAATTCGCCGGAGCCAAGCTCCCTCCCGAAGCCGAATTCCTCCCGAAGACGAATTGCGAAGGCAATTTCCCGAAGACGAATTCCCCCCCGAAGACGAATTGCGAAGACGAATTCAGCCGAATTCTCCCCCGAAGCCGAATTCACCCCCGAAGACGAATTGCGAAGACGAATTCGCCGAAGCCGAATTCTCCCCCGAAGCCGAATTCCCTCCCGAAGACGAATTGCGAAGACGAATTTCCGAAGACGAATTCCAACCCGAAGACGAATTGCGAAGACGATTCGCTGGAGCCAAGTTCCCTCAAGAACACGGGTTCCCCTAATGAATGCCGTTGAGCAAGCATGCTGACAGCGAGCGTTTGTGGTCATTTCGTCCCCTTACCATAGACGGCGCCCTACATAGTAGATGCCTTTGTCAAAGCCCAATCCTTCACTAGAATAGTTCATGCAATTTGAAACCAGTATTGATCTATCGACTGTCCTCTTCTAGGAGGCTCAGCGTTTGTAAGAAAAGAAGACCCTTCCTTGAAAACAGTTTTTGTTAGACCTCTCGGCTTTGACCCTGTCCCCGTCAGAAGTGCAAAAAAACGCACACAACACTGAACATGCAGCGCCTGGAACCGGGGACCCCTAATAATATAAGACGTTATAATTGCGCAGTTGGCATGTTTGGGTTGTTTGCTGATGAGGGGAAGGGATTAGTTTAGCAGGGGGTTGCGCAGATGACGCCTTCTCCTCTTTCGAGGGTTTCCTGCTCGTCCCCGTAATAATAGAGGGCCCCCTAGATAGTAGATGTCTGCTAAGAATCTCCGAGCCGCAGGCTAAAACATCCTAAGGGCAGGTTCTGAGGGTCACCCTGTTACTTCCCCTTGTTTAAGGTCCTAAACCTTTGAGGGAATTGTGTTTTGTGCGCAGCTGACATGTACATGCGAATGCATTTGGCTCAAGATCTTGATAATAGAATCGAGGCAAACATCCAAACACAGCTGTGAAACAAAGCAAAAGGGTTCGTATTCCGCGGTCGCATCGTGTCGTGAGACGACGCAGATCATTTACCTTACAACCCCCTTTTACCACGACCGCTACTATACGACTTACTGTCGAGCGTATTGGTCACCCCACGGGAGTCGAGTCCCAACTGCCTTGTCATTTGATTACGTGGTTGATCCGCCTCCTGGCAGGTTATCAGCCGTAAGTTCAAAATTGGTCCCTGCGGTGGATTGCAACTGCGGTACAATACAACCTTTTGAAATATATTTACAGCCGTACAATGGATTCTTCCGGAAGCCCGGGAACTGCAACATTTGGAAATGATAGTTCCAGCGGTTCCACAGGTATGCTTGCAGTGCCGGCGATTGCAGACTCTCCGGACACCCAACAAAGTGCAAGTTCTGAAAATAGCCATGACCTATCACATTCATCCTGGAAGGAAGTTGGTCATGCCGTGTGGTCCAAAGACGGAGAAAAGAAGAGATCGTCATCAGCTTCATTATCGACACCGAGAAGGAGCGTCAAGGGCGTCATGAGTCCTGTGACAAAGGAAAAAGGGCGATCCAAATCGCCTACAGACTCTAGTCCGTCTAAGATCACTCAGGAGAACAAGACCCTCAAACAGGAAGTGGAGGAGGCTAAGCGCAATTTGGCTATGCTACAGGAGTCATATGAACGTGACGACCAGGGCAATGTCACGCGCATCCAGGAACTGGAACGGAGAGCAGGAATGTTGGAACAACAAGTAGCCCATATCCTCAAAAGATCCGACGAACAACTTCGAGAAGCTGCTCAATACATTGACATTCACGGAGAGTATCAAGACGAAGCCCGACTTAAAGTCCTCGAGTTCGAGAAGCGACATCAGGAGATGGCCGCGGCCGTGAATCTGCTTGAACATCGAATCAGGTGCGAGGAAGAAAGCTCATTGGTCAGCAAGAATAAGGCTGAACAAGAAAGAAGGAGCACTTCTTCCGAGATCGCTCAGTATCAATCGATGATCAACTCCTACCGGTGAAGATCGCTACGGACTCGCAGAACGATGAGAACACCATTCGTGGTTTGCGCGAGAGATTGGAGACAGCGTTGTTGCCGCAACCGAAAATGGCGATCGATGACGAGCCACAAAACGTATTGGTGAGCAAAGCAAATGATGCTATCAGGTTTTCTGAACAAGAAGCCCATTGCGCACGGGTTGCCGTGAGCGAACGGGATGAGATGCATTTGACTGGACAACGTGCAGTACAGGAACGCGACGCGAAGATGAACGAGGAGATCAAGATCGCTAGAGATCGAGCTCATCAAGGAAACGCATTACATGATCGCGCCACGCTGAGGGATCAGGAGTTTGTCGACGTGACTCGCGAACTCGCAGCATCAAGACAAAAGCTATTGATGCGAAATCCGATTACCTCAGCCAGATCGCTGCAATGTCCGAAGAAACCGAAGAGACACGACAAGAACTCAAGATCCAAGAGAGCTTTGTGCACCAGTTGGCAGAGACGAACAAGGAACTCGAGAGCGAGAATGCCACCCAAATCGCCATCGCGGCGGATGCAAAAGATCGTGGACGAGCTCTACTGAGGGATGACTCCGTTAGGACCAGTAAACGCCACAATTCGAAGATGCGTAAGAGTGATACCACAAATGGGCCTCAACAACAAGGTCAGGTAATGCTCTATCAGACTACAATGGCGGCATCTAGTTCTAGTGTACACGCGCCCAATGTTCTTACCGGGTTCTGTTTTGTTTCCTGCTTACCAAGACCCAATGATACAGGCTCATATCGACCAACTCCATGAGGCGGTAGGATCTATTGCAAATATGAGATTTGGGAGGTGGTGGTCGTCATGGAGATGGCGGTCCACCTGGTCTCGGGTCTAGGACGTGCTCCTGTCCCAGCTGCAACAGGAGGGCCAAATCTACCTGATCCGCCTGACAACGATGATGATGGAGACGAGGACGACGAAGAGGAACCATCCGATGATGATGATGATGATGATGATGATAATGATGATCGCCGTCGCAACAGAAGATCACCGCGAGTAAGAAGGTCGAGAGATCGCAGAGATCATGACAATGGTTGACCAAGGATATCACGGAAGGAAGCTGAGAGAGTCAATGTACCTCCATGGCCGAAGACCACGAAGCTGTCACCAGTGCCTCATTCAGCAGACCCTGACACCGAAGAATGGGCAATATTGCGGAATGCAACTGATGTTGACGAGGAAGGAAAGATTCAACCAAAGACGAAGGATGGCACCGGTAGCTCGAAGGACGCCGCACCTGCAGAAAGTACAAAGGTCAACGCTCCGAGCGCTAAGAGAATCAAAGCTATGCTCAAAGAAAGAGGGGGTGGTGATCAGTGGTGGTACAACTGGGGCATACGGAAGAACACAAATAAGGTCAAGCACCTTGTTGAGGTAAAGTTCTTGGCGGACCTGGATTGGACGAGGAGCGTTGTCAACCCGGTCGATGGGTCAGTCTTGCGCATGGACTCCAAACGTCTTCAAGATCTTGGTGCATCCAATGTGACATTGGACGAGGTCTATGGGATCCTGGTGGTTATCGACGCATGGAAGTTTACTCCAAGAGAAGGTCTCG